GGGGGTGGGGGGGGGAGGTTTTTGCACGAACTTTTTGGAGTCCAGACCCTTCAATATCGCTGGTGCCCCCGAGATTTGATCGACTCTGAAGTTCTAAGTTTCCACCTTCTTGTTGTTTGCCTCGATCTTCTTTCCCCCGACTCAAGTCGTTTTGTCAGTTCTTCGAACATCTACATGATTGCAGGATCAGTCCCCGATTCTTTTTTGTTCGATTTTCTCGAAACCGACTCGACCCTGTGGACAACTTCCTGTTATGGCTCGGGCTCGATCCTGCTCGGTGGGTGATTCTGATTTTGGAGTTGGGCTATCGCTGTCTGTTGAGCCTGCAACATTTCGAAGATTACCCGCAGGTTGATCCCGCCATCTTCGCCGCCATGTGTTCTTTAAGCGGCTGATTAAACGTCCCTGCGGATGCTGTCTTGGGATCGACGACCAAATTTGCATGGAGGGGTACATGTGAACTGACATCGATTGGATCTACACCCGGAACTTCATTGAGATAGACCGGTCTACGTCGTTCCCTGGTGCTATGTTATCATTCTTGCCGTGGTGGCTGAAAATTGTCAATGTGAAGGGGTGGTGACTGAGAATTCGACATTTTGATCCTGGACTCAAAGATACTTCAAATAATAAGTGAAAAATAGTGTGTTATAAAAGTTTGTACTGAGTAACCACTATTATCCTTAGCCCCACGGTGGGCACCAAACTATTTACCCTAAAAAATGGATAACAATTAAATTTATATGCGTTTTTAAGGATACATGATATAACTTGATACAAATTAAGAAGACAAATTAATATTGAAATTAACGATAAGAGAATAAACGCAAACCACACAAATTGAACAGCCTTGGCCTTCGAGTTCGATCACCCTCGAACAACGAAATGCCTCTAGTGATGTAAGAACAGAATAACAAGATAATAAGAGTTAGAAATAACAGTATATTGCTTTGTATTGCGTATTTCAATGTGTGTTACAAATGATAAGATCCCCTTTGCTAATTAACCGGCCTCTCCCTGATACGTGTCGAGATTCCCGCCGTGATCTTCAACTGATCGTGGATATTTCGGTCCTCTTGTTTGATCTCGATCTTGTTCGGTCCCGGGATCACGAGCTTGTTGCTGTAACTTCGTACCTCAATACCATATAACCCGAGATCGGACTTTAACCTATTACATTTCAATCTCGATTGGCCACACAATAGATGAACCCGGTTTCGTATCGTATACATAACTAATTCTAAAATTATTTATTCTAAAATTATAGTGTTATTTGTATCCCTATAAAATGGTGAAATAACAGTGTCGGAATAACTAATCCAAGTAAAGTAAATTCTAATTTAACTTGAACGACCCCTTAGTTTAATCTTTTTTCAGAGGATCGATGTCACATTGGTCGAGTTATGCATTATTAGAATAGTAATTATATTGGGGTAGTTCTTTTTCAGAATATAATTAATTTCTACGATCATATTTGATTAGAAATACTTAATTACATGATATATTAATTAAATTGACCTGTTTATTTACGTAACAAAATGAAAAATATAAGTTTTGAACATATATTTTCTTAATAAATATCTATACTAATGAATTAAAAAAAGTTAGTAAAATATGAAATTCTGTTCAACAACTATGCAAAGTAAAAAATGAAAATAAGAAGTTGCAAAACTATATGAAAGCATACCGTATGCAACATGTTGAAAGGTTGAAAAATACAAATTAGAGAAATAAAAGAAAAATAGTGTAAAAAGTATAGTAATTTGTTTGACAAAAGAAAATTAAAATAGAATGAGATGGTTATCTTAACTTCTTATTACACAATGTAATTGCCACACATTCTTAATTGGCCAAATACATCGAGAGCCTCTAAAGTGGAGATCACTTTCTACTTTACTACTTATTCTTTAGTCCGTTCCATTTAAACACTTTAATCAACCCGGTATTATGCCACTCAAACAGCAAAATCCCGACCCATATTAAAATAAAAGTGACCGCTGTCTATGTGTAATGTCAGCCCAATAAATGTACATCATGTGGATATGTTGTCCACGTAATTTACCTGGGTACCAGGTTGACCCGTCACAAAGTTATTATACCTAATAACTAATAACACATTCCCATTTTTTTACCTCTATCACTCCGTAAAAAAAGAACCTAACCCGACGATTTGCATCGGCTGATTCGCTTGTTCATGCTCCCAAATCAATCGGCTTCCACGACATTTGTTATTTATCCTCAGTTATTTATTGTTTATTTTGGGTGCGTGTTAGTAATTTGGTTTTGTGAAATGACAGACCCAAATTTCGAGTATTTTCTCTTCTTTTTTGATTAACCTTTCTGACTTGCCTTTTTTTTCTTCCATTGTTTTTGTCAATGTAGGGTAAAGTATGTCTGGGAACACCTTTATTCTTGTACTCTTTCATCATGGTGGAACCTTTACCGATCCTCCAGACACAAAATATGTCACCAATAAGAGGTGAACGAATTTTTTATTGATCAGGACCACTTTTCCCTTTTTGAATTTGGTTATTATACAAGGGGATCGGAGTACCATACTATTGGTCTTTTTTTTAATGTATTTAACCCTAATACTAAATAATTTGTGTTAGTGGAAAATGACGATCAATTATATAATATTGGTTGTCACTGTACTGATGGAGAATTAAATGTTTATGTTTTACATGTTATTGATGAGGTTGTTGAGATAGTTGTCCCAGTTGGCTATTTATGTGGGCCAGAAATTACTCAAGATAGTACTAACTCAATAAATAAGTCATCTAGGAAAACAACTGAAGGTGGTCCAGATAATATAACTGCAGAACAGCCTCTTGAAGAGCCTTAACTTGAAGAGTCACAGGCTGGAGTTTCTGTTGATGATTTTTCTGCTGAAGAACCAACTGTAGAGGATGTTATTGCTGAGGAAGATGGTTCTGTTATTGCAGAAGATGAAATTATAGGTGGTGAAGAATGGGTTGAATCAGACGTGACTAGTAGTGTGTTTGATGTAGATAAAATTCCTGATGAGGATGATAGTGAGGTTGATGAAGAGTTGAGAGTCATAAGAAATTATAAGAAATTATAGGAGAAATAAAACAAAGGCTAGCAGGAAAAAAGAAATAACCTGAAACTGCTAGAGTACCAATAGGAGAATCTGGAATTGATAGAGGTTTTGAAGATATAGGAGTGAACAAATGACAGAAATATGCTTGCAGATTAGGAGGTGATGAGGAATTCATAGATAGTTCAGCTGCTGGAAGTGATGACACTAGTGAAAAGCTGGATATGGACTTTGAGCCAGGTGCTGACATTCCAAGTAGAAGGAAGAGCACAAAGGTTAGATATGATCCAGATTGTGTAGTTGTAATATTTGAATGCTAAGGTATTTAGGAAGGCAGTGACTAATTATGCGGTTGAGTACCATGTTCGATTGAAGCTTAGACCCAATGAGAAGCATGGAATAAGGATAAGGTGTAAACATAAATGAAGAAGATAAGAGTTATTTGATAGTATTGATAGGGATTCTAATGACTTTATGGTGAAAAAATACTATCATATTCACAAGTGTCAACCATTAAACACAAACAAGTTGTGAAATTTCAAGTACATTGCTAAAGATTCAAAAAAGATCTAACTACTGCATATTATATAAGGATCTAGGAAATTCAGGAACTTGTTATAGAGAATTTGGGATTGTATGTAGGAAGAACAATTGTTTATAGGGCCAAAAAATAGTTCTTAGAGAGTTTATGCGGGATTGGAAGTTGGAGTTTTCTAGACTTTGGGACTATGTTGACAGTATTAAAGAAATAAATCCCGGTACCTCTTGTTGGGTAGAAATTGACAGAGAATCAAAGTCTGGTAAGAATTTGTTTAAGTACTTTTATGTTTGTTTTAATGCCTTGAAGAAAGGTTGGCTATAAAGTTGTAGGAAGATCATTGGCTTTGATGGGTGCTTTCTAAAAGGACATTGCAAGGGTGAATTATTGGTTGTTGTAGGAAGAAATGAGAACCATCAGATATTTACTATTGCATGGGTTGTTGTATACCATGAGACCAAACATTCATGGAGCTGGTTCATTAGACACTTAATGGAAGATCTGCATCTGGGATATGGTCAAGGTTTAACAGTTATTTCAGATATGAAGAAGGTAAATATTTTGCTATTCTTGCTTGTTAACAGTAGTGCCTTTTTTTGTTTTAGTTCCCAATCTTTTATTCTACCTATATTTTTATGTAGCGATTATAGGAAGCTGTGAATGACTTGCTGCCTGATGCAGAAGTCAGGATGTGTGCAAGGCACATATGGTCCAATTGGCCAAAAAAATGGAGGAGGTGAAGAAAGAAGAAGACAATTATAGAAGATTTCAAAGGCAAGCTATGTGTTTAAATACAACAAAGAAGTTGAGAACATGAGGAGACTTGGTTCACAGAATATATGTGAAGATATGATGAAGTATCCAAGGGAGGCATGGTGCAGAGCTTTCTTCCAAAAATATTCCAGGCATGACATAGTAGAGAATAACATGTTTGAGACTTTCAATTCGTGGATATTGGCTACTAGGCACAAGAGTATTATTACCATGATAGAAGAAATTAGATATAAGATCATGGCTAGATATCTTTAGCCAAGAGTCTATTAGAAATAGTCTCTCTGCCCTTCCAGAATAGGGGTAAGACTGCGTACATCCTACCCTCCCTAGACCGTGCTTGTGGAATTATACTAGGTTGTTGTTGTTGTCATCATGGATATACATGTTGATATGATTAGGTTGCTGAGACATGAATTTCAGATATATTACCTATGGCTAGGCTAATATTAGAAGAGAATAAGGAATTAGCTAGACAATTCACAATTATATGGAATAGTCAGGAGGGATTTGAAATCAAATAGAAAGAGTTAAGGTTTGTAGTAAATACTACCTTCAAGACGTGCACTTGTAGGTTGTGGAAGTTGAGATGCATCCCATGTGAACATGCAGTATGTGCATATCATTATTTACAGCAGGATCCAGGTGAACATGTGGAGCATTGGTACAGAAAGGATAAATTCCTACAGCCTTATGGATACTTCATTCAGCCAATTCCTAACTTAGAAATGTGGCCATTAAGTAACAATCCTCCAATTGACCACCAACACCAAAGCCAATGCCAGGCAGATCCCAAAAGAATAGAAGAAAGGCCAAGAATGAACTAGCAAAAAAGGGACAAGCTGTCTAAAAAAGGAGTAAAAATGACTTGTTCACAACGTCGTCAACTTGGCCACAACAAAAAAGGATGTCCAACAAGGGTATGAATTTCATTGCATTTTCTTGAAATTTCACTACGTGTTAACTTCACTGTATTTCTATAACTTACTGCATTTCTGTAACTTCACTACATGTTCACTGCACTTTTTATTTTAGAGTGGCCCTAAAGAGTCTTCAGCTACTGGTGAAAGGGGCAGAGGAAGGGGCAATGCTACCCAACTGGTGCAACTGCTGGGGAAGTAGCAATGGTACCCAAATAAGTTTAGGGACCGAAGGAAGTGGCAATGGTACCCAAACAAGTGCAGTGAATGGAGAAACTGCCAATGGTATCCAAACAAGTACAACTACTGGAGGAAGGGGCAACGGAAGGGGCAGAGGAAAGGCAAGTAGTACAACAATTGACCTACCAGAGATGTATTCTCAGATGTTATTCCTCAAACTGCTCTTAGAGAAAGGGGTATAGTATCAAGAGGAAGAGTAACTTTAACTGGTGTGAAAATGGGGTCTTTAACTGGATCTTCACCTGCTGCTGGACAAAAAAGACCAAGACATGTTGGATTTGGATGCTACACTAACCCGGAGACTGAAAGAACAGTCCTTAATGTAAGTACAATTCACAAATTTAGTTCTGTTACTCTTTGACTTTTTCCTCTCTAATATTACAGACTTTATACATTTTCAGCCTGGTACTACTGGTGAAAGCGTTATAAACCATGGGAGTATATTGAGTAGTACCAAGTGATAGAATTAGGATACCAGGACTAAGATGGAATGGAAGAGATGCAATTACTACTTCCTAACTTCAGCAAATGAGTGTAAGTCAAAGAAACAAAGTTGGACAACCCACAAATCAACAACCACCACAAAAAGTTGCAACTCAAGTGATCATGGATAAATTTGTCAAGAAATAGCTTTAGTGACTTGGATTTTGTAGTTGACAGTTTTTAGTTTGCAGCAATTTGTACTGTAATAGCAATATGAATTCTATAGTGACTTGGATTGCGGCAAGTAGTTTTCAGTGACTTGCCAAGAACCTACTGTTTTTTGTTGAACCTCATTTTGCCATTATGGTTTGACTACTTGTAATGTGCTGGATTTTTTCATATTTGTAGAACCTATTTCAATTATTTGATTTTATTCCCTTTTGTTATTATGTTTGAAGTCGTTATCTATGGTTACAAAATGTGTCTTGCAAGTTGTTTACAGCTTCTACAACATGCTATGAGCGGGTTATATCTTGAATTTTCTGTTGAAATTTTGTGATGTTTAGATTACACAATCCCAGTTTATTACCAATTTCTTACTATTTGGTAGCATTACCTAAACACTAGAATCAACAGGCACAAACTGACAATAAGCATGGTGTTACCAGTTTCTACAATAGGCACCAAATGAGAATTCCAACAACTATTTCTTAGAACCAATTCGACCAAAATATGATTCAAATATTGTAAATTACATCAACAGCTAAATATGTTGTAATTCTACAAAGCTTGTTACACAAATTACATAAACAACAAAAGGCAGCAACTACAAAAAACTCTCAAACACTAAGAACACTAATAACCATCCCCATTTTTACACTATCAACCACCTTCAGCCACTTTCGAATTCTGTTGGCATCAACAATTGCAAGAAGAACAAAACAGCCAAATAATTATGACAATTAGTAGAACTGTTACACCCCATATTTTCGTACGTGTGAATACATCATAAGTCAATTAATGTAAGCTCGGAAATGGAATCATCTTTGAAAAGTTTATAAAGTTAGTTCATCATGTTGACGTGGAGGTTACAAATATTTAAGATCATTAATACTAAGTAAAAAGAGGTTTTGAAGGCTTAGAAGCTAAATGAATTGAAGAAAATAAGTTTCGTCGAAAGTCGACAAGTTGGAATGTTTTACCATGTACTCTTGGGGTGAGACTAGGGTGATTAATATTATAAGGAGATTATATTATGAGTTATTTTATTCGTATGATATTTGGTGTTATGTCTTGAAGTCAAGCGATTTGTGGAACAAAAGTTGGAAAAGGTCATCATAAGTTCTATTCATAAATGTGCTGAAAATTAGGTCAAATGTAACTCAGCTTTTCTATCAACATACTTGGAACTAGGGTATGATCTACCTACCAAATTGAAGATCTATGAGTCTAGTTTCTAAATCATTAAACCGTTTGTCGATACAAAGTCTTAGTAGAGAGATACTCGTATTTTTGCGAGACTGTGCAGGCTGGTAGGTGACAAGTAGGTGCATCACCTACTTGCCAAAAGGAGAGGCCTCAATTAAGTCGTCCAAGAGGGGACTTTTAAGGGATAATTAACTCATTTATTTCACTCATATTTCAGACCATTAAAACCAGAGTGAACCCTTGCAACTCCTCCCCAAAGATCCCACACAAACCCTAGGTTATTTCGGATGTTACGATGTGATTCTAGTGTCGAAAACCCCGGACAACTTGCTAGTTTCTCTTTATCCTTCATGTAGCTGCGTTGGGGGACTGATTTTTTATGGAGAAGGACTAGGTTTCGTGGTTCTACTCAGTCCAAGGTATGTTTGCTTCTCCTTCCATTATCTATGCTTGTACGAGTTATAATTCGACCGTAAAGACTAGACCTAGCGAGTTTCGAATGAGTGGTATGTTGTTTGTTATTGCATCACTGTTGGCTATTTGTGGAATTATTTTTAAGTTGAATTGATGGCTGATTTATAGGATAAGAGGCTTAATTATGTGCTGTTGGTTGTGTTGCTCAATTTGAAAGAAAAGACAAATCGAAACATATTTTAGTAAACCGAAAAATCAGTTTTGAGTTGTTGAACTTGTGGGACTGTTTCGTATTGCTGTTGGGTTGTCTATTTTGATAATATTTTTATGGAGTTTGGGAGGAGAAAGAGTGTGGAGAAACGCCACATAATGGCCAGGTGGTTGGCTGGTCGTTCGTCGTTACATTTTTTTAGGTTGTTGGACACTACTTTGGTTGTCGTTTTATGTATGAAGTAATTAGGGTGTGTGGGCTGTTTTGTGGTATATTATGATGGAGATAAGGTTGGAACATGATGCATACATGTTGTTATTGTTGTGTTCTTGCTGTTGTTGGTATATGGTATTGGAGGATGGCCTTGTTATAGGGGATATGCTGCCAAAATTTACGTAAACAAGCTACTAGTTTAAGTGCGGACTTAGCCTTTACTCAGCACTGATTTTGAATCTCCTTATGCCGTGGTAGATTAAATTGAGTTGTTTGAAGAATTGCATGGAAGGCATTAAGGACTCAACGGAGTTAAGGTATGTTAAGGCACTTTCTTCTTTCTTTTGGCATGATCTAAAATGAAATGAACATAAACGATATGGTATTTTGTAATGAATGTACTCCTAGCAACTAAGGTTGTCCATGTTGTTCTTTCTATACAAAGTTATTCTAATAAAGTATGTATGATCCTTGAGTCCTAGTGAAGTTCATATTTATAGTATGATGTCCACAATGTTAATCGAAAGTGCAACGACCTTACGTCACTCCGAAAGGTTTAGAATTTGATTCCATGTGTCGAACATGCATTATATATATGTATCTATTTTACTCTACTGAGTCGCGCTATAGTCGGCCGGGTACGGCACATATTGTGCAACCACTGATCAGTTGGGTTTACCGAGCTCCGCGTGGCCGGGTACGATTATACCGAGCCTTATGATGGCCGGTACGTTTTTACCGAGTCCTCTTTGAGGCCGGGTACGATATGATGATGATGATGCCCACGAGGCGAATATTTTTAAAAGTTTATGTATATATATGTATTATGCATTTCATGTCAATAGTCCCCAGAGGCACTCAGATGTTACAGGTTGTATCTCCTCTATTTCTCTTTAATTACTGTTTTATTTATAGTTTCCTGCCTTACATACTCGGTACTTTATTCGTACTGACGTCCCTTTTACCTGGGGACGCTGCGTTTCATGCCCACATGTCTCGATAGACAGGTTGACATTCCTCCTAGTAGGTTATCAGCTCAGCGGAAGGTGTTGGTGCACTCCACTTGCTCCGGAGTTGCCTATTTGGTCATTATGATTTGGACATGTATTGATTGGTATGGCGGGGCCCTGTCCTGACCTTATGATATGTATGTACTCTTAGAGGCTTGTTGACAGATGTCATGCATATGAAAGATTGTATGGCCTTGTTGGCCTATGTTCAGTGTACGAGTGTTCATTTTGGTCTTATAGGACTGCATGTCACATGTATAAGTTTGTATTACATGTTGGGTCATCCTATGTCAAGTATTCCCTTAAGTTTCATTTTGGTTATATCATGACGGCCCTTCCGGCCCATTTACCCATGATGGTATAATAAGAAAGAATACGTTACGTTGGTACTCGATTGGGTAAGGCACCGGGTGCCCGTTGCGGCCCTTCGAATTGGGCGTGACAAGAACAACAACCAACAACTTATTCTCCATTGTCTAGGTCGTTCCATTTCTTGATCAAAGGCCTTGACTCTCTTCAACAAATCCCAAATAAATTTATTTTCTTGGTCAGGAAATGTCTCCTCAAACCATCTGAAGTAGTTACATCCTCCTTTTTCCTTTAAAACATATCCAACTAAATCAATTTTAAAGAATGCAAATTCGTACCAATATTAAGATCAAAGAAACATAAAAGATTATCGAAATTTATACTTACTAGGCCATTTCTGCATACAAAATACATTCCGCCTGGGTTTGCCGAACTCCATGAGGCTTTTAACACACATACCCAACCACATTGGCACAAATCAGTTCTCTCTGAATTTTCAGACATTGTCAAGCAACAAACTGAGAGAGAGAGAGAGAGAGAGAGAGAGAGAGAGAAAGAAAGAGAGAAGATGTGAAGAAAGGTTCATCTGAAATCGAAGAAGGAGGACGGGAGTATTTCAAATTGGAGAAAAAAAATTCAATTTTTCCATAGGAGTTATGGCTTGGAGAAGAAGAAGAAAAGGGGAAAATGGGTTAATATAACGCGGGGTTTAGGATTTTTACCGTCGGAATAGTCCAGTCAGACTATATTTTACATTCACACGCTCATTATATGTGATTCACACTCAAAGTGACTCGTGGGATTTTAGTGTTTAAGTGACACATTAAAGAGTTGGTTAAAGTATTTAAATGGAACAGACTAAAGAATAAGTAGTAAAGTAAAAAGTGATCTCAACTTTAGGGGGCTATCGATGTATTTGGCCTTCTTAATTACACCCTATTTGTCAAAATGTATGATTACGGTCAATTACACACATATTCAATTTCAAGTTGATTTTTCAAACATGCTCTAACTATCCAAAGCGATAAATGCCATAAAACCTTTCATATTTCTAAATTTTTTTTTTCTTAAAAAAATTATCTATCAATTTGTACAACAAAATGCTATTTTCTTTGTTTGTTTTTAATTTTTTCCCCCAAATCCCAGTTGTGGAATATGCTAAATTTGTTGTTCTTTTCAACTCGACGTTACTAAATGCAACAAAGCACTGTTATTTCCAAATTTTTTCAACTTATTTATTTTTGAAAATTTCATTTAATAAAGCGTTGTTAAATGTTGTATTGTTATGAAACTTAGCTCAAAGTAATAAAATAAGAAAATAGACTAGAATATAGAGAGTAAGAGATGAGAGCTTCTTATTTCTTTTAAGTATGTCAAGTATGTACAATGTGGTGCCAAAACCCTCTATTTATTGGATTACATTGAGGTATACAAAAGAATGCCATAAACATGACATTAAATGTTTGAGATCATGGAGGAAGATCATGAGGAGGTTATAAAGGTGTGGAAGTTAAACTATAATGGTGAGAAGTTGTGAAAATTATCTATATAATGGAGAAGAGTAGTGGAAGTAAATTCTTTAGGAGTTATAGACATCCATTAATGTAATTATAATATTTCATAACACTCATCTTGGATGTCTATAGATAATGTGCTTCGTTAAAACCTTACTAAGGAAAAACCATGTGGGAAAAAATCTTAGTGAAGGAAAAAGAGTACACATATCTTGTAATACTCATTACTTGCTGCCTCATTAAAAACCTTGCTAGGAAAACCTAGTGGGATAAAGCCGTAGCTAAGGAAAAAAGAGTGCAGCGCGTATTTGCCTCCCCCTGATGAAAAAATCACTTTTGTTTTTCGGAGA